GTTCTAGCAACGAGCAGTCTAATAGCCTTCCCAGGCAAAACAGCCTCTTCAGACTCTCCAAAGGGGAAGAGATGGGTGAACATGATGGTATGAATCTTGCTTTCTTTAAGCAATCAGAAATGAGGATGATGACACCTAACATGTTGTGACATTCAATAAACAAGTGGCCTGTACACTCAAAAGGAGTTTTTTCCACTCACCCTGTGAAAGGGCTATATGTTCTGGCAATTAGAAGTCTCATAGCCGTGCCAGGCAAGACAGCCTCTTCAGACTCTATGAACAGGAAGCATGACTGGAAGTATCTGGCTGGTTTAAGCAGCCTGGGATAGAGATGATGACACCTAACAGGATGTCACATTCAGTAAACACATTGTCAATACACTCAAACGGAGTGGTTTCCACTTACCCTTTGAAAGGGTTATCTGCTTTGGCAATGAGAAATGGCCTAGCCTTCCCAAGCGAAACAGCCCTCTTCAGAGTTTCCAAAGAGGATGATGTGGTTGGACGTGACTGCATGAATACTGCTTTGTTCAAACAACCGAGGATAAAGATGATGACACCTTACAGGTTGTCACATGCGGCTAATATACTCTAAAAGAATGCTTCCACTCACACTGTGAAAGGGTTATCTGTTCTATTGAGCAGTCTCCTAGCCTTCCAGGCAAACAATCCTCAAACTCTTCCAAAAGAAGATTCAGGCAAGAATAACTGTATGAGCCCTGCTGGTTCAAGCAACCAGTGATATAGAAGTTGACACCTAACAATTTATCACATTCGTTGACCATGTGGTCAATACATTCTAAAGGAGTTGCTTCCACTCACCTTGTGAATGGGTCATATATTCTGCCAATCAGCCCTTGTCAGATTCGTCCAAAGAACGTGGATGATTATGGCTGTATGATTTCGCCTTTGTTCAAGTAGACAGGGATTAAGATGATGGTGACCCAGTTGTCACAATTAATTAAGCATGTGGTCAAGCCGCTCTAAAGGAATTGCTGAATTCACCTTCTGCAAGGGCCATCTATTCTGGCAATGTCCAGTCTTCCTTTTAGGGCCATTATAACTGGTCTCAGAGCCTTCTTAATCCAATCAATCCTCATCAGTCCCTTCTGAACAAGAAGATGAGGACAACTGTCCAGGTTTTGATTCCTCCTTTTGTAAGGTTAATGAAATGCCTTTCAATTGAATCAAAGTTGTGGAAGTATTTCAAGTGCCTCCAGAGGACAGCTTGACAATTCCCTCATGGTGACTGAATCAAGTTGTCACAGCAGGATGTCAAGAGCTTTGAATCACCCCTTATGAGATTAGCCAGATACATGACTTGATCATTAGAAGATGCTGTGGCCTTCAAGGACGTACTCAATAACTGCATTGTTCTTGATCTTAGAAGGTGAAGTCTGAATTAATAGTAGTCAGTTTGGCTTCCTGCCTCAAGATAAACATCTGTTGAGTTAAAGAAGACTGAAGTCCGTTTCCACGCTGACTCCAGAGAGGGTAGCTTCTGCCTTTCTGGCCAGGAGCCAGCACATAATCCGAGAAGTCAGCTTCATGTCAGGATGCTTTCTGGTATTTTGAAAAATGTGCCATCCATACATGTCTTATGGGCACTTGGTGGTTCCTCTTTGGACATAGGTAAAGCTTTGATGACGGACACATGGTCACTCAAGGCAAGCATTTCAGGACATAATTGGGAGATCTTTCATCCTTCATGTCTCAGATCCAGCAGGTCAGGTAGGCTCGGTTGAACTCTCACCCCCCCCCCCCATCAAGTTGGGTTTCTGGACTGGTAGCAGTCCTAGGGCCTAGCTAAAAAGATATGGATTACGCCCTGTATGAAAGCAAGCCAAAACTTGTGGTTGGAGAAGCAGAATCTTCTGCGATGTAATTCTCATCTGACGATCTTTTGGCTGGTGGTGCAGTAAGACACCAGCAAAGTATGAGTCAATAATGGAATTTCAGGCTCTCCTAGCCTTCAGTGACCTCTTCCAGGGTGGACCTGTCCTGGTGAAGTTAGACAGCACAACGACTGGCCTACAGTCTGAAACAAGGGGGCACTTAGTGTCTCCTTCTTGAAGGAGGTTTCTCTGATTCTAGAGTTGGCCCAAGTCAATATCCTGCAGCTATCTGCTGCCTATGTGCTGGATGGAAGAATCTTTAGACTAACAATTTGTCCAGAAAAATCCTGGATGAATAGTCCAGACTACCGCAAGTCTTTCGAGAACTAATAGGCTTGGTGATCTCTTCCAGAGGTAGACCTGTTCATATCATCAGTCAACACCAAGTTGCTTTCTATTCTAGGGTCCAGCATCCACAAGCAATCGGGGTGGAGGTGCTGATCGCAGAGTGGATCTCTAGGATAGCTTATGCCTTTCTGCCTCTCCCTCTGATTTTCAGCTTCCTGCTGAGGCTGTGGCAGGGGCAGGTGATAGTTCTGGTGGTGATCCCAGATTGGTTGAAGGAGCCTTGTTACCCTCTGCCCCTCCTAATGAGTGTCAAAGATCCACTCCCTCTGCCAAAGTCCCATTCATCCAACACTTGACAGGCTCAAGCTCATGGCTCAGGTCTTGAGAGGCAGAGGCTAATAGATCTCGGGTGCTCTGTAAAGGTTGTGAATACTCTTATGAAAGCAAAGAGGAACAGCACTTACCGTGCCTATAGTAGAATATGACATAAATTCACAGGATTGCTGCTGATGAAGGTTTTACACTGGGCTCTTCACAAGTCTGTCACATTCTATAGTTTTTGTAGGCAGGACTTAATTAAGGTTTATGCATAAGTACGCTATGGGACCACATTTCAGCTATCTCTGCCTTCACCGGCATACAGTGGGCATCCAACACTCAATTATACTGTCCTTCAAGCTGCAATGTGGTTGAATCCGAACTAAGGGATTGTTTGTGAAGTCTGATCTCCCATTGGTGTTTGGACTTGTTTGCATCAGATGCCTGCAAAGTGGCCCCTTGCGTTACCTCTTGCTGAAAACTGCTTTCCTGGTGGCAATTCTGTCAACCAGAAGAGTGTCCTTATAAGCGGCCTTGGGGTTTAAAGAACCCTTTCTTGCGTTCATCCCGGATAGGGTGCTACTCATGCTGATGCTCAAGATCGTGCCTAAGTGGCCTTCAAAGTTCATATTACACGAAAAGTTATCCTTCCTATGTCCCTCTTGGGGGGTACCCAAGAAGCTAGTCTATTTGATGTGGGTCAAGCTTTAAAATTTAACATTAAGGCAACATCTGGCATTAGGAAGTTGGAGCACTTGTTTGTCATTCCAGGTGGAGCGTGTAATGATTTTACAGCTTCCAACAAGATTATTGCCTCCTGGTTGGTGTAGCTCATCTCCTTGGCCTACAAGTTAAATGGGTTGGCTGTGCCAGGGGGATCACTTAACTATCCACCCTAAGGGTCTCAACTTTGTGAGCAGCAGCAGACTGTGTTCCCAAACATTATCTGCAAGGCAGCTACGTGGGGGTCAATATATAGGTTCATGGCTCATTACTGTATACAAGTAGTCTTAATGACAGTTGAGATTGGCAGAGGCATCATGGCTTCTGCTTTTTAGCCAGAATTGAGGAGTGTGTAGCATTATCCCTCCCCCTTGTGGGTAGTTAGTTCCCAGCTGTGCTGACATGGAGCTGTCAGGAAAACAGAAAATTGAATGACAGATACTTACCATAATTTTCCTTTCCTGATGAGCTCCATGTCAGCACAATCCCCACCCAGCTTGGTAGGACTAGTTACAGAACACTGAGGCTACAGGTGGGCTCAAATTCATGAGTTAGGTCCTGGAAGCATGGGGTGGTGGGGCCCTCCCTTACCCCAGCTGTGCTGACATATTGCTGTCAGGAAAGTTTGTTTACAAAGCTCAGAAGCTTAAGCGAAAACTAACACAAACACTATTGAATGTGTAAAATCAGCATCTACTCCACCTCTCTCCTGCTCTTTTCAGATGGCTCTATAGGAAGTTTCAGTCAAAGTGAAAGAGTCTGAAATTAAACAGCTTTTGTTGTGCTCTTGTTGCTCTCTTGTTGTGCCAGCTGTGCTGACATAGAGCTTGTCAGGAAGGGAAATTTACGGTAAGTATCTGTCATTCCATTTTCCATTTTCTTTTCAGCAGAGTAGCTGAGAGCCTGAGGACTTGTAAAAAGAAGCTGGAAAATGGTACAACATATTTATATGCAATATATAAATACTTAGATAACATTTTTTTTGTCCTGATCCTAATAAAAATAAAACCTAAAAACGGTTGGAATATGTAACATGATCCCAAAGGTGAACTTATCATTTAAGTAAGTGTTTTGCTTTTTCCCCTCTTCAGTGAAGTTCACTTTCACATTAAGATATTACAATGTTATTGATTATTTCCTTGTATTCTCTCACTGTCAGAACAGAAGTGTGTAAATTGTCCTTTCTCCTGCCTAAGCCCAATGTTGATCACAAACACTAAATAAACCTCCATGTAACAAAGGTGCTATCAGGAACACATGGAAGAAAAATAAAGGCTTTATTCACTGAAAGCTTTGCTTTTCTTTAGCAGTCTTACAGAATTTTAGTTAGCTCTGAGCTCAGGTAGGATACAGGTCAATGTCTGTTCTGACCTTACAGCCTGACACTGAGCTGACGTAGGGAGAAAATACAAGAGAATATCAACACCAACACCTGTCCCTGAGATATCCAACAGTTTTCTTAGCTTAAGAGTGATGATTCAGATACTTATAAATGCCCATTGATGATTGATTTTACGATAAACACTATATATATATATATATATATATATATATATAAAAATTTTTTTTTTTTTTTTTGCTAGAGGGCCCTTTTTTATTTTTTACCTGATTAGTTGTTTACCATGCAGATGATGTCTTGTACTCATTGGTTTATTTGCTGTTGTGACATTACAATAGTCTCGTTTCAACTTTCCTCTCATTTTCAGCATCCGGCTTGGCTTCTATGATCACGTGGAGGAATGGTTTGATGAAATGGTGTCCAATTCTCATAGTATTGTTCTGGCCAAGAAGGAGGAGCTGAAGTCTGAATTGGATTTGCTCTATCACCTTCATGAACCCAGAGGACTACGCATAGAGATGGACATCCACAATGTTAGGGCAGGTACAATTGTTTCACACCTGTGATCTTTCATGCAAACATCTAAGTATACATATGAAACACAATTAAGTGTTACTTAAAGTGTTTGTTAAGGCAGAAGGTAAAAGTGCTTCTGTATGTGACTCCCACAGCCCCCTCCCCTTTTTATACCTGTACAAATAAAAGCCCGATTTGACTTGAATGCCCCTTGTATATCTTTAGTGACAGACTGCTCATTGGAAGCTCCTCAGAGTGTAAAACTGCACTTATATGTGTAAGACCAGTTTAAGAACAGATCAGAAAGTTGTGTATATGCAATAGGTGGAATATCATCAATCAAACAGTCCTGTTTGCTACATAATTTTATTCCTACACTTACCTCTGAAACAAGATATTTCTGATTGTCCCTTGTCCTTGATTTCCCTTGCAGCTGAGTTGCTCTTACACTCAGAACGTGTGGATCGCCATTGTGAAGGGGTAAATCAAGCACTTAATGATTTAAAGGAAGAGAGCGCTTCACTGATTTCGAAAATGAAAAGTGAGACTGAAAATTTCCGCAGCAAAATCATATCCATGAAAAGCATATTCCTGAATGCTAATAAGTCTGATAAGTGAGTATATGTCTATTTACTACACTACTGTATACCACTATATCAGTAATTTGTCTTTCCATGTTTACTGATTGATCCCAGAAATGTGAGGCTGCAGACTGTTGGAGGTACGTTACTCCACCCATAAGGGATATGATGGGGGATATTTGTTAAAATTGGAGCAGAAAGTACAGCAGTTGTGCATGGCAACCAATCAGCTTCTAGCTTCAGCTTGTTTGATTAGGCTTTGAAAATGAAAAATAGAAGCTGATTGGTTGCCTTATACAACTGCTCCAAATTCTGGTTGCTACATTTTTTATAAACTCCCCCTGATGTGTACTAGTATTCTCACTGACACTCTGGCTCCATTTTATTCTGCCAGTTTGACTTCTTCAGCCTACTTGTGTCTCTGCAACTGTACTCTCCTAAAGAGAGACAGTCATTTTTTTAGCAAGCAGAAATCATGCACAGAACAGTAGGAGAAACTTTACTTTATTATAGACCTGTTAGTTTAACTTCTATAGTTGGGAAGATACTGGAGAGTTTAATAAAAGACCAAATAGATGAGTTCTTGCTGGAAAAAAATATTTTAAGCAACAGACAGCATAGATTCATGCAAGACAGAAGTTGTCAAACAAATCCAATTTCTTTTTATGAGGGGGTGAGCAAAACCTTGGACAGAGGGGTGGTTGTGGATGTGGTATACTTGGATTTTGCAAAAGCGTTTGACACAGTTCCCCACACATGGCTAATGTGTAAGGTAAAGTCTACGGGCTTGGAAAAAAACGTATGTAAATGAATAGAAAACTGGCTAAAAAATTGTATTCAGAGAGTAGTGGTTAATGATTCATACTCTGAATGGTCTGGGGTCATCAGTGGCGTACCCCAGGGTTCAGTGTTGGGACCCTTACTTTTTAATATATTTATAAATGATATAGGGACTGAGATTACAAATCCCATTTCAGTCTTTGCAGGTGACACCAAGCTGTGCAGTGGAGTAACGTCCTTACAGGATGTCTTCAACTTACAAGCCGACCTCAATACACTGTTTAATTGGGCAACTATGTGGCAAATGAGATTTAATGTTGATAAATGTAAGGTTATGCACTTGGGGGTTAAGAATATGTATGCATCATACATACTAGGGGGGGGTACAACTGAGGGAATCAATGGTGGAGAAGGATCTGGGAGTTCTGGTAGATCACAAGCTTAATAATGGCATGCAATGCCAAGCTGCGTCTTCTAAAGTGAGCAAAATCCTTTCTTGTATTAAACGAGGTATAGACTCCAGAGAGAGAGATATCATATTACCCCGGTACAAATCATTAGTAAGACCTCATGTGGAATATGCAGTTCAGTTTTGGGCACCAATTCACAAAAAGAACATTGGGGAACTGGAGAAAGTACAGAGAAGGGCAACTAAACTGATGAGGCATGGAGGAGCTCAGCTATGAGGAAAGATTAGAGGAACTGAATTTATTTTCTCTTGAGAAGAGGAGATTAAGGGAGGATATGATCAACATGTATAAATACATCAGTGGTTCATATAGTGTACTCGGTGTAGAGTTATTCACCCTGAGGTCAACACAGAGGACAAGGGGGCACTCTTTACGTCTGGAGGAAAAGAAATGTAATCTCCAAACAGAGAAAGGTTTCTTCACAGTGAGAACTGTGAAAATGTAGAATAGACTCCCTCAAGAGATGGTTCTGGCCAGCTCAGTGGATTGCTTTAAAAAAGTCCTGGATTATTTCTTAGATACACAGAATATAACTGGATACTAACATTTATAGGTAAAGTTGATCCAGGGAATATACGGAGAATATGCCTCTCGGGGGATCAGGAAGGAATTTTTTTCCCAGCAGGTGCAAATTGGATCATGCTTTGCTGTTTTTTTTTGCCTTCCTCTGGATCAACTGTGGGTATAGGATTATAACTTTTTTTTTTTTCTATGGTTGAACTGGATGGACTTTTGTCTTTTTTCAGCCGGACTAACTATGTAACTATGTAACTGCTTGTTTTTTCTATTTTGTGAAGGTTTTAGAGTATTTTTAATGTCTGTTTAAGTCCCTCTTACATCTTGTCTTCCTGTCACCCTGCCTATTTCTTTTCAAATATTTGACTTTGGATTCAACTTAAGGACATTTTTCAGATCAAATTCCTAATAAAGTTTGTGCAGTTTTTAGTTTTGCAGTTTACTTGCTAAATATCTAATGTTCAGTTTTTTATTTTAATTTTGCATTTCAGACTGGTAGCCCTGAGTAATTCCTTGTCATCAATACTGGATAGCCATAACAGTGGAGTCCAGACTGCCATGAGGAACTACCGCCAACATGTGGAGGAGATGCTGGGAAAGCTCTGTGACACCAATTCTGATTTCATCAAATCTTTCAGGTAAGCACAAGGTACATATTTAATACCAGAAATCTGTGTATATTGACTGACCTATCTAACTTTCTGTGAAAAATCACTGAAGTTTTTATGTATTAATGTGTTCTTACCAAGAGCCAACAATCAGACAATCAGGGCAAGTTTGAATCTGGTGGCTGAAAGGAAGAAAATCCTATTCTTAAGCCTGGTGCACACAATGAGAATATCGGACAGATGATTGTCCTTTTTTTTTTGCGTGCTGGTCTCATATCGAAAATTAAGAAGTTACTACAGTTACGAAAATTTGCGTACAACAGAATACAACTTTGTTAATGATGTAATGTATTCTTTCATTTCTGAGCATGCATGGTCTTGGTAACTTGATTTTTTACAGACGAATACTGTACTGACAAATCATTTTTTTCTGGTATTGTACGAGGACAAATGTTCATGCTTGTCCCTTTGGATAATTTCATATGAACTATCGTGATCAGCTCTTGAAAGCTGAGTACTAAGGATCAGATTATTGGATGATCACTTCGAAAGCAGTATTTTTCATCCGATTTTCCCATCATGTGTACTAGGCATTAGTAAGAGTACATTGATATATCAGACCTATATTGTTCATGGGGTCCCATGCCTTAAAGTGTATGTATACCCTAAAAGTGAACTTTTTTTTCAATAAGTGCAAAAATAACCTGATTATTTTGCCCGTAATCCTGTGAGCTTCCTGTGCCCTCTGCCTTGTGCACAAGGAGGGGCTATGGAGATGAGGCAGGGGGAGGAGATCAGTAGAGGTCTGTATCCATTGTAATATATCAAAAATGAAGTTGGTAGGGCTGACACCATGTGCTAAGGATTTCAGAAATGAAAATACACGTGTGTTGCTATTGCAGAGAAAAGATAGGAGCACATTATATTCCTGGCTCATCAACATGTGTTTTCTGTACTCACAATGTCTTCAGAGTTAAAACATGGGAAAATGTGCATGTATTCCAGAGAGGTACAGAATGTCAACAATATACAAACCATTTTAAAAATGTGTCGGCAACCTCTCCTTCTCTTCATCACATTATAGCTGAAAAGATCAAATCCAGAAAAGGTTCTTCAGTGATGCATTTGGAGTTTTCCCTATTCATGCTTAGCTTTGTGGTCAGTTAGCATAATGCAGAGGAGTGATTGAGCATACAGTTAGTAAGGTTGACCAGTGCTGGTCTGACTATTATCTTCTCACACTGCAAGGAAAGGAGATAAATTTGCTGAATGGTTCAGCTTTGCCTAATTTCAAAACTGTAACCTGCTTTTTCATTATAATGGAGTTCATCTAATATTAATTAGGTAGTAAAACTCATGTTGAAAATTAAAATTGACTGCTTTATTTATCTGATAACCACAGATTATTTTCAGAAGGTGGCAATTTTTCTCCTGATGAGATCGAGAAGCTTCGTAAGAGGCTGCATAAAGCGTCAGATACCATCACTTCTTTTGAGGGCTCCATCATGGTGGACCTGGAGGGGTTGGAATCGTTGTGCTTAGAACAGGTAAATCTGGAGTAGTTACGCACACCTTGATGTAGAATGATGGTGTCCTTGTCAGCTTGCTCTTGTACACAATGCCTTTATCATCTGTCAGAATGTGCACTTCTGTTGAACTGATGAAACCCTAAATAAATAACCTCCAGAGATATATATGGGAATTTATGAAATGACCTGTCATTTCCACCAAAGACTAATTCCACAGTGAATTGAAGATGTGGGTTGAATAGCCCACTGTCTACTTGAATGTCTCTCAAGAAATCTTCTGGAATTTTGGAAAGGTGAAAATCTGTGAGTTTCCAACTGTTCCCACTTAGAATAGCTTTAAAAAAAGTGTCTACTGTTTTTTTTTGTTTTGTTTTGAATAGAGTGGACAGGGATTAGAACACCCATCAGGACCCTGTTAGGGATATTAACCCTATTAGTTTTGTTTACCATCAACAAAATTGAAAGTAAAAGAAAATCCAAGATTTTAGGTTGTCCCCAAAACAGGAATTATTGGGGATATTTTCCAGTGGGTATGCTGGTTCTGATGACAACCAGGGATTCCTTTACTTTTGAGGGATTTTCTCTCTCTTCCCGTTTTGACTTTGGGGCACAAAGTGAAGGGAAATCTGCCCAATGGGACACAGATGGCAAAAATAAACCTTACAGGGCTTGTAACACTGCCTTACTCTATCCAAAATGAAAAATAAAAGTTTTACCTTTAGTTCTACTTTCATATTGAACCTGTCATATAGATTACATTACAGCAGAATTAGTGTCAGACACGGACCTGAGGGGGGTCATTATAACTTAAAGCGGAGTTCCAGCTGAAAAAAAAAAATAAAAGTCAGCAGCTACAAAAACTGCAGCTGCTGACTTTTAAAATACAAACACTTACCTGTCCATCGGTCCAGCGGTGTCCTCACCATGGCTGGTTTCACCGGCCATCTTCTCTCCCCGACGCCAGCATCTTCAGTGTGGGTACCCGACTGTGACAGCTTGTGGCTTTACAGCTGGGCACCCACTGTACATGAGCAAGAAACACTGCGCTTGTGAATGGCCCTGTAGTCTGCTGGGAACTGTCAAATTCGGGTATCCGTTCCCCCCCACTCCCCCACTCCTTAAGCACGTTTAAACTAAAGATCTAATCCAGGAGAATCCCTATATGCAATTGGTTTCCTGCCCATAATCCTAATGGCAAAATATATACCATATACTGTATATTTGTGCATTGTATCAGTTGATGTTTTGTTCATCTTGTATAATAGATCATTTTAATACTAACTTTTAAAAAGACCCCAAAGGGTTATTTTTTGGTGTTTCCATAAAGAGTTTAACAGGGGCACCTTTGGCTATTCTTTATTCTTATGTATTCTTGAAGCTGTATTGTATTTATTAAAGTGGTTGTAAACACTCTCATATACCCAGTGAAGTGGCTGGCCTCAAATGATACACAGAGATGAAACAAATCCTCTTACATAAATTTTACCAGTCTATATGCAGTCTTCTCTTCTCTACAGCCATTCAATGTCCAGATATTATAAAGCTTGTCTGAGGGTTCAGAAAAAAAAGTGGACTGAGAGCTGAAATTACACACTGCAAAACTCAATGAGGAGAGCTCGGAGAGATGATTGGAGGGAAGAGACACACCGCCCTCCACACAGCACACAAGAACAGAGCTGAGGCTGTCAATCTGCTGGAGGTCCCTCTATGTACCCTCTTTTCTCTTGCTGTCAGGAAAACTTGTCAGAAGTGATTCATGCTGATAGCAGAAGAATGAAGCAGCAGACAGAAATTATACTTAGTGCTCTTAACCATTAGCCGCCCGGCCAATGGCCGTTTGGCGGCTTCAAAAGTGTCTCTGCACTCCGGGTGCACGCCATTTGGCGTGCTCCCGCACATGCGCAGTTTGCGCTAATGCAGAGCGGCGCAGCAGTGCGATCTGTCACCGGCCGTGCACCTCGGACACGGCCGATAACAGATCCGAGTACCGGCTCCCGTTGCTGGTACCATGTGACCTGCTGTGACCAATCACAGCAGGTCACATGACACTTGTATACAATGGATGGCTTCATTCATGATGCCATCCATTGTATACTAGTGCCTAGCTGTGAATGGTCACAGCTAATCACATGCACATGTCATGTGATTAGCTGTGACCAAATCACAGCTAAGCACAAAAAAAAAAAAAAAAAAAGCTGAATGAATCGATTTCATTCAGGTAAATGCTTGCTTATAGCAAAGTAATTCTTTGCTATAAGCAAATTGTGTAAAAAAAAAAAAAAAAAAAATACTGATCACTTCCCCAAAGTAGTACAATGTTACTATGGTAACATTGTATTACTTTGGTCATAGTAAAATATGAAAAACAAATCTTAAAAAAAAATAAAAAAAAATGTAATAAAAAAATTAAATATAATAAAAAAATGTAAAAAAAAAAAAAAAATATATATATATATATTTTTTTTTTCATACTCTCACCAGTCAGTGTCCCTGTTCACCGCCATGCCAGTTATATGATGACGCTGTACTGCACTGGTGACAGTATGTAAAAAAAAAAATAGTGAAAATAATTTTTTTAATTTTTTCATTTTCCGAAAAATTATGACAAAAAAATACAACTTCAAAAAACTCGCCATGCCTCTTATGAAGTACGTCGGACTGTCTACTCTGCAAAAAGGGGTCATTTGGGGATATCTGTACTATTCTGACATTCTTGGACCTCAAGAAATTAGATTGGCTGTCAGTACTTCAGGATTGATCAATATTCAGATCTATACCATAGTTTGTGAACTCTATAACTTTCCTACAAACTAAAAAATACATCCTAATTTGGGTTATTTTCACCAAAGACATGTAGCAGAATACATCTCGGCCTAAATTTATGAAGAACAATTATTTATTTGTAAACTTTTATAACAGAAACAAAGAAAAATGTGTTTTTTTTTCAAAATTTTGGGTCTTTTTTTGTTAATTTAGCAAAAAATAAAAACCCCAGCGGTGATTAATACCACCAAAAGAAAGCTCTAGTTGTGTGAAGAAAATGATAAAATTTTAGTTTGGGTACAGTGTTGTATGACCGTGCAATTGTCATTCAAAGTGTGAGAGCGCTGAAACCTGAAAAATGGCCTGGGCAGGAAGGTGTAAAATTGCAAGGTATTGAAACGGTTAACCACTTCCTGTCCGGACACTTTTACCCCCTTCCTGTCCAGGGCAATTTTCAGCTTTCAGCGCTATCACACTTTGAATGACAATTGCGCAGTCATGCAATACTTGTACCCATATGAATTTTTTACCATTTTTTTTAGACAGATAAAGCTTTATGTTTGTTGTATTTATTCACCGCTGGGATTTTTATTTTGTTTGCTATGTAAATGAAAATGTCCACAAATTTTGAAAAAAAGTGTTTTTCTTATAAAATGTTGCAAATAAATAATCCTTCATCATAAATCTTGACCAAAATGTATTCCGTTATATCTTTAGTAAATAAAAAAATAAGCCAAATTAGTTTATAACCAAAAATTATAATTTTTTATATTATTATTTGGTTTTTTTTTTTACATACTGTCACCCTGGCAGTACAGTGTCACCATGGTGACACTGTACTACTTGTGGGGGGTGATGAAGATTTTTTTTTTTTTTTTACAGTGATTGCTTTTACACCCATATGTAAAAGCAATAATTTCTCTTTCTCTCTGTCTGCATTCTTGCAGCCATTGAGAAATACTGAGTGAGCAGTGATTGGTCACACCTTGTCACATGGTACAAGGCTGTTGTGAATAGCCTTGTACCATGTGACCTCTGTGATCATTCACAGATTTCACACGTAGTAAGCAATGATGTCACAAGTGACATCTTGCTTACTACTTTGCATGTGATCACTGATTGGCCAATCAGTGATCACATGATCGGGACCTCGTACAGAGGTCCCGTCCGACGATCGGTGTTTCACTGTGTCCGGAGGACACAGCGGGCACCGGATCGCGGTGCTGCGTGCTCCCAGGGAGCGTGCACAGCTAGAAAAGGCGGGTGCTGTTTATGAAGGCAACCCGCCCCTGGAGTGCCACCGCCCTGCCGTTTATAAACAGCAGGCGGACGGCAAGTGGTTAATTGAGACAAATACATACTATAGAGCAGTGGTTCTCAACCTTTCTAATGCCGCGACCCCTTAATACAGTTCCTCATGTTGTGGTGACCCCCAACCATAAAATTATTTTCATTGCTACTTCATAACTGTAATTTTGCAGTGGGAGGAGTAGTGCCATGTCATTGGTGTCAGTGGAAGGAGTAGTGCCCCATCACTGATGTCAGTGGGATGAATAGTGCCCCATTGTTGGTATCAGTGGGAGGAATAGTGCCACATCATTGGTGTCAGTGGGGGGAGTAGTGCCCCATCATTGGTGTCAGTGGGGGGAGTAGTGCCCCATCATGGTGTCAGTGGGGGGAGTAGTGCCCCATCATTGGTGTCAGTGGGAGGAATAGTGCCCCATCACTGGTGTCAGTGGGGGGAGTAGTGCCCCATCACTGGTGTCAGTGGGAGTAGTGCCCCATCACTGGTGTCAGTGGGAGGAATAGTGCCCCATCATTGGTGTCAGTGGGAGGAATAGTGCCCCATCATTGATGTCAGTGGGTGGAGGGGAGAATAGTGCCCCATCATTGGGGTCAGGGGGGGGGGGGGAAATAGTGTCCCATCACTGGTGTCAGTGGGGGGAGGAATAGTGCCCCATCATTGGTGTCAGTGGGAGGAATAGTGCCCCATCATTGATGTCAGTGTGGTGGAGGGGAGAATAGTGCCCATCATTGGGGTCAGGGGGGGGGGGGAAATAGTGTCCCATCGTTGGTGTCAGTGGGGGGAGGAATAGTGCCCCATCATTGGTGTCAGTGGGAGGAATAGTGCCCCATCATTGATGTCAGTGTGGTGGAGGGGAGAATAGTGCCCCATCATTGGGGTCAGGGGGGGGGGGGGAATAGTGCCCCATCGTTGGTGTCAGTGGGGGGAGGAATAGTGCCCCATCATTGGTGTCAGTGGGGGGAATAGTGCCCCATCATTGGTGTCAGTGGGGGGAGTAGTGCCCCATCATTGGTGTCAGTGGGGGGAGTAGTGCCCATCACTGGTGTCAGTGGGAGGAGTAGTGCCCCATCACTGGTGTCAGTGGGAGGAGTAGTGCCCCATCACTTGGTGTCAGTGGGGGGAGTAGTGCCCCATCATTGGTGTCAGTGGGAGGAGTAGTGCCCCATCATTGGTGTCAGTGGGAGGAATAGTGCCCCATCATTGGTGTCAGTGGGAGGAGTAGTGCCCCATCATTGGTGTCAGTGGGGGGAGTAGTGCCCCATCATTGGTGTCAGTGGGGGGAGTAGTGCCCCATCACTGGTGTCAGTGGGGGAGTAGTGCCCCATCACTGTGTCAGTGGGGGGAGTAGTGCCCCATCACTGGTGTCAGTGGGAGGAGTAGTGCCCATCATTGGTGTCAGTGGGGGGAGTAGTGCCCCATCATTGGTGTCAGTGGGGGGAATAGTGCCCCATCATTGGTGTCAGTGGGGGGAGTAGTGCCCCATCATTGGTGTCAGTGGGGGGGAATAGTGCCCCATCACTGGTGTCAGTGGGGGGAGTAGTGCCCCATCACTGGTGTCAGTGGGGGGAATAGTGCCCCATCATGGTGTCAGTGGGGGGAGGAATAGTGCCCCATCATTGGTGTCAGTGGGAGGAATAGTGCCCCATCATTGGTGTCAGTGGGGGGGGGGGAGAATAGTGCCCCATCATTGGGTCAGGGGGGGGGGGAAATAGTGCCCCATCGTTGGTGTCAGTGGGGGGAGGAATAGTGCCCCATCGTTGGTGTCAGTGGGGGGGGAATATAGTGCCCCATCGTTGGTGTCAGTGGGGGGAGGAATAGTGCCCCATCGTTGGTGTCAGTGGGGGGAGGAATAGTGCCCCATCGTTGGTGTCAGTGGGGGGAGGAGAATACTGCCCCATCGTTGGTGTCAGTGGGGGGAGGAATACTGCCCCATCGTTGGTGTCAGTGGGGGGAGGAATACTGCCCCATCGTTGGTGTCAGTGGGGGGAGGAATAGTGCCCCATTGTTGGTGTCAGTGGGGGGAGGAATAGTGCCCCATCATTGGTGTCAGTGGGGGAGGGGAATAGTGCCCCATCATTGGTGTCAGTGGGGTGGAGGGGAAATAGTGCCCCATCATTGGGGTCAGGGGGGGGGGGAATAGTGCCCCATCGTTGGTGTCAGTGGGGGGAGGAATAGTGCCCCATCGTTGGTGTCAGTGGGGGGAGGAATAGTGCCCCATCGTTGGTGTCAGTGGGGGGAGGAATACTGCCCCATCGTTGGTGTCAGTGGGGGGAGGAATACTGCCCCATCGTTGGTGTCAGTGGGGGGGGAATAGTGCCCCATCGTTGGTGTCAGTGGGGGGAGGAATAGTGCCCCATCGTTGGTGTCAGTGGGGGGAGGAATAGTGCCACATCGTTGGTGTCAGTAGGGGTTGGAATAGTGCCACATCGTTGGTGTCAGTGGGGGGAGGAATAGTGCCACATCGTTGGTGTCAGTGGGGGGAGGAATAGTGCCCCATCGTTGGTGTCAGTGGGGGGAGGAATAGTGCCCCATCGTTGGTGTCAGTGGGGGGAGGAATAGTGCCCCATCGTTGGTGTCAGTGGGGGGAGGAATAGTGCCACATCGTTGGTGTCAGTAGGGGTTGGAATAGTGCCACATCGTTGGTGTCAGTGGGGGGAGGAATAGTGCCACATCGTTGGTGTCAGTGGGGGGAGGAATAGTGCCCCATCGTTGGTGTCAGTGGGGGGGGGAAATAGTGCCCCATCGTTTGTGTCAGTGGGGGGAGGAATAGTGCCCATCGTTGGGTATTAGTGACACAAATGATGGGGCACTATTCCTCCCACTGACACCAATGATACTTACTTTGCTGACCCCTGCTCCAGCCTGGGCTCGCTCTCTCACTTACCTGTCAGCTGTCTTCCTTCTCTGGCCGCTCTCCTCTTCACTCGCTCCGGCAGCTCCCTCGGTCTTCTTTGATGTACGCGCGCTGCCGCTCGGCTCCTCCTCTCCAAGCTCCACCTCCTCGCCGGTGATTGGCCGCCTGTGTGCCTCTCCTGAGCTACAGTTCCGGTGGCCATTCAGCGGCGAGGAGGCGGAGCTGCTGAGCGATCCCGGAGGTGTGGCCAGGTGACAGGAGCAGCGTATCATCCCGCCCACACATCGCCGGAGACAGCAGCGGTGTCTCGGTTCCTAAGACCATCGGAAATATGTGTTTTCCGATGGTCTTAGGCGACCCCTGGGAAATGGTCGTTCGACCCCCAGGTTGAGAACCGCTGCTATAGAGGGATATGTTTTTGCTCATATTTCATGTGTGAGGTTTACAACCACTTTAAGTTTCTCTGTCTTTTAGATTGCAAGGCTACACAAGAAAATCCCTCTTCTCCTAATGTGCCATGTATTCTTGTTGTTTTTTGCTTGCAGGTTGCTAATGAGCATCCCATTTTTAATGTGCAATAAAGCAGAATATGTGGCTGCTGTATTATAAAAGATAGTAGCAATATTCATTCTTACTCTATAACGTCTTTTTTATTCAGGCCACAGAAGTTGTTAAAAAGTATGAAGACAAATTCCATAGTCTAACAATGGACACAATCTTCCTAGAGAATATACAGAAATTACTGACTAATCTGCAGGTGAAGATCAAAGCACTGGTAAGTGATTTTGCTATATTGACTCTGCAAACTATATATTATATCCCAGAAGTATTGGGACACCCCTCAAAATCATTGGAGTCAGGTGTTCTAATCACCTCCATGGCCACAGGTGTATAAAATCAAGCACCTAGGCATGTAGACTGGTTCTACAAACATTTGTGAAAGAATGGGTGACTCTCAGGAGCTCAGTGAATTCAAGCGTGGTACCGTGATAGGTTGCCACCTGTGCAATAAGTCCATCTGTGACATTTCCTTGCCACTGAATATTCTATGGTCAACTGTTAGTGGTATCATAACAAACTGGGAGCAACTGGGAACAACAGCAACTCAGCCACGCAGTGGTAGGCCACATAAAATGACACAGTGAGGTCAGCACATGCTGAAGCGCGAAGCGCACAGTGCACAGAGGTGGCCAACTGTCTGCAGAGTCAATAGCTAAATACCTCCAAACTTTGTGTGGCCTTCAGATTACTACAACAGTGCGTAAAAAGCTTCATGGAATAGGTTTCCATGGCCCAGGAGCTGCATCCAATTCTTACATCACCAAGTGCAATGCAAAGTGTTGGATGTAGTGGTGTAAAGCACGCCACCACTGGACACCAGAGCTGTGGAGATGTGTTCTCTGGAGTGACGAATCACACTTCTCTTTTTGGCAATCAGATGGACGTGTCTGGATTTGGTGGTTGCAAGGAGAACAGTACTTGTCTGACTGCATTGTGCCAAGTGTAAAGTTTGATGGAGAGTGGAATATTGTGTGGGGTTGTTTTCAGGAGTTGGGCTTGGCCCCCTAGTTCCAGTGAAGGGAACTCTTAAGGCGTCAGCATACCAAGACATTTTGAACAATTTCATGCTCCCAACTTTGTGGGAACAGTTTGGGGATGCCCCATTCCTGTTCCAACATGACTGCGCACCAGTGCACAAAGCAAGGTTCGTAAAGACATGGATGAGCATGTTTGGGTTAGAGTCCTGACCCAACCCGACAGAACACCTTTGGGATGAATTAGAGAGGACAAGCGAGCCAGGCCTTCCCCTCGGACATCAGTGCCTGATCTCGCAAATGTGCTTCTGGAAGAATGGTCAAACATTCCCATAGACACACTCCTATACCTTGTGGACAGTTTCCCAGAAGAGTTGAAGCTGTTATAGCTGCAAAGGGTGGGCCAACTCAATATTGAACCCTACCGACTAAGACTGGGATGCCATTAAAGCTTCATGTGCGTGTAAAAGCAGGAGTCCCAATACTTTTGGCAATATAGTGTGTGTGTGTGTGTGTATGTATGCAAACTGTTGTAATTCCTACACTGTTCACCTGATTTGGATGTAAATACCCTCAAATTAAAGCTGACAGTCTGCAGTCAAAGCACATCTTGTTCGTTTCATTTCAAATCCATTGTGGTGGTGGTGTGTAGAGCCAAAAATATTAGAATTGTGTCGATGTCCCAATATTTATGGACCTGACTGTATGTCTGTTGCACTGGCGGTGCGGATTCAGTGCGGGTTTTAAAAAAAGAGTCATGTCCGATTTCTGAGCAGTGTGGTCCAGTCAGGTGCCAATTACAGGCTATTGACTTCTATAAGATCCTAAACTAATCCTGCCCTGAGCCTGATGTAAACTTGACGTGAACCTGTGAACAACTACTGTATCAATTAGCTGTGAAACCTGAGCTTCAATCCGCACCGCACATGTGTGAATCAGCTCAGTTTAAGATCTTAAATTAAATAAACATACATGAGGATGATCTGATTGTCCATAGGTTGTGACCAGCAATTCTCAGAGCCAGCAAATTAACTCTTACCTGGAACAGCTACGAATGAAGATAGATGCCTGTGCCAGCCCCAACATGGATAAAGAAGTATGTTGTCAATATGTCATACCAATAAATTAAAGGTGACTGTATGCCCAGGACCCTATGTAGTGTAAGGAGCTCACAATGTCCTATAATCCCTTAGTAAAAAAAAAAAAAACTGCAAAATCATTTCATCTTCCTCTTCGCCAACTATCACTACTGAGGATGCAGTGATTTTATTTTGACACATCTAAGCAACAAAAATAACTTAATTTGGGTGGCTACAAATCATCTTTAATGATCTTTTTTAAACCAAACTAACTCAGATCAACAGGATTTGCTTTGCAGATATGTATTGTATTTTATCAAAATTCTAATTTGCAGACCAGAATGTCTTTGGAATTGATCTTCGTTAATAAGATCAAATTTAGGATTTTATTTAAGTGTGACTTTGTCTGCAGATGTATTTTGACCCAAATAGACCTTTTAATGGTACCTTTGTTGCACACTTTACTTCAATAATAGGTGGTGACTAGCCAAGATCTATATGAATTTGCTAAAATTGTAATGGATGAAGTCTCGAAAAGGAGCTGCTACCTAACTTGTCTTCTGGTAAGTTCATGTATTTATTAGGCAAATATTGACATACATAGCCAGAATGTACATATGTTTACTGTTGCATCTGCAAAAGGATTTGTTCTGCCAAGGATTTGTACCTGTGAAATCTGTTCAGCCAATCTTGTGACCGAACTGAGATACAACTGTCACTCAAATTTTAAGACATTTGACATACAGTATGTATTAGCTGGTTCATCAGTGCAGCTCTCCATGTCACAGCTCTACCACCAGCTTGCCTTGTCACAACCAACACCTGCCCAGGGGCGGACTGACAACTCATGGGGCCCCCGGGCAATAGGGGATCATGGGGCCCCTGTGTCCTCGCCCACACCCAAAAAAGCCTATGAAAAAGCCAAGGAAAGGTACCAGGGGCATCTCATGGGGCCCCCTACTGACCCGGGCCCTTGGCCAGTGCTCGAATGGTCAGTCTGCTGCCCTGCACCTGCCTAATGAGCAGGGAGATGATGCAGAAAGCAGTAAAGCAGAACCAGGAAACTGCAAAACTGAACCAGATAGCATAAAGTAGAAGCAAGGATGTATAGAATGATCATCCTTGCTATGCAGTGTGGCAGAGGTGTATAATTCATAGGACTGGCAAAATAAAATTACAAATCCTTTGGCTTGTAAACGTTTGTGTGTTTCCAATGTGTATTTAGCTGTTTGCCTGGTGTTTCACTCTAAGATTTTTCTGACATGTGAAGACTGTTTGTCATCTTGCAGGAACCCAGTCCCATTCTTCCAGAAGTTCCATTACAGGGTCCAATTGCAGCAGCAGCAGCTCGTGTAGATGCCCCATTAAGACAGGATGGCAAGTTGGCATTTGGGACCCCTGACAGCCTGCTGAATCCAAGCAGAATAGGAAAACTGGCCTTGGATGATGCAGCACTGGGTGTGATAAAGAACATCATGAAGTAAGTGCAAATAAAAAAAGTAAACTCCAGCCCTTTTGTGGGAAAAAACTGCTTTGGCTGTACAACTAGGCAGAAGTCAGCAGGCCTCCACTACAGTTCTGATATTTCACGTCTTGAACCCCATGATGCATTTTTCTATTTATAACTTGGCAGAATTAAATTTTTGAAGCACAAAAATTGTGTACCGATTTTGAAAGCAAAATCGCCAATATTTTCTCCAATCTAAACAGATTTTCAATTCTGCTTTCTGAGTAACATACAAAACTAGAAAAGCTACAATTTCTGGGGAAATTGTGTGAAGTGTTCTTGCCTCCACCAGTAGTCTACAACTGGAGTGGGCGGAGTAACTGGGTGGAGTGGCTTGTCACTCTGCTGCCTCTTCACACACCTGGGTTCCTATGGCAACTCACTCTACAGCAAGGGCAGAGAAGAGCGGTTAAAAACAAACTGCTCCAACTTGCTCACTTCACTGGCGGTTGGCATCTTCAAACAGTTGTAGTTTAAAAATTATAAATCCTACACCGAAGAGCTTTATATTGTGAGAATCACAAGACCCAGACCTACATTTTAATGCATAGTATGTCTCTGAAATATTAAAAGTGAAGGCACAGTTACAGTTTAGAAATTGCCCTTCAAATTTGAGGTGGCTTGCGTGGAGTTTCAATGAATGTCAATGGGCGGCGTGAGTTGCAAACAAATGGTCATATTGTGAAAAACTATCAGGGCTATGGCTTAGCCGTGGACATTTTTTAGTGGCAGCAGGGATAGCTGAACGTTTTGATATAAGATTTGTGTAGGTGGGCTTGAAAATGAGGGAGTGGTGGCAGTTTAGAAATCATGTCCTGATTTGTCAGCTCTCACTCTAGTTTTGAACATTCCGCCATTCATTCCTATGGGACCAATTTCACCATAAAAAACGCCGATATTTCGTGAGCCATTCGGCGAAACGTCCCACAAAGTAATAGCACACCAATCGGGAACAATCCGCATGTTTCAGTATATTACTGTCTATGTCGTGTAAAAACTGTGGGAGGAGTTAGGGTGGTAAATTTGGCTTTAATAAGAATATATATGTGAGATAACAGTAAGTGGTCTTGCCATGCAAGAACACTTAATAAATGAAAAATCCAATGGGTGGAGTGACACCAGAGTGGCAGACCAAATGAACTCAAATGCAGAAATCTCAGCAATGATGTCACTGAGAAGTATGAGAATGGGTGATTTGACTGTTCCTATATGTTCTGCTTTAAAGTGGAACTCAATCTTTGGATATAAAATGAATTAAGGCTGTGTAATTACCTCCGTCATTCTGTCCTGGTAATCATAGTGCTCCAGTGTTGCTAGCCTGGATGAGATAACAAATTCAGTTTTCATTTCCACTTTCTCTTAAGGCATAACTATGCCTTTTTGCGCTGCCCCGTAGTCAATTCTTGTCGGGAACTGAGTTGTTTTTAGTCAACTCTCTGTAGTACTTGAGACCACAGAAAATTATGTCAGATTTTACCCATGTTAATGCGGGTCTGCTATGTATGAATGGCAATTACCACAGAATCCTGCCCTCTTATGCCTACCTTCCGGAAAGTGTGTTAGGCAGTTATGGGCTGTCGGTGGTGAGCATATAACACAGTATTCCCCTTTCACTGCCCATAGCCAAATGGTTTTACATCTGTCATGACCAGGCCATTCTTTGCTTTTCAGCACTGCGCTACTTTAACTGGCGATTGCTTGGTCATGCAACACTGCACCCAAATGAAATGTATATCATTTTTTCATACATATAAAGCTTTCTTTTGGTGGTATTTGATCACCACTGGGTCTTTTATTTTTTACTATACAAAAGTAAAAATACGGTATTTTCTACTTTCTGTTAGAACACATATTCAATAACATCAAATTTCTTAAAAAATTTAAGCCATAATGCTACATGCCTTTAGTAAAAAAGTTATATTGTCTACAAGCAATAGTATTTACGTAGTTATTACACTATACTGGGAATGGCGGTGTATAGTGGGACTGTGATAGTGCGGCAGGCAATCTGACGCTGGCTGGGAGATACACTGACATCAATAGTGACACTAATACAGTGATCAATGTTCAGTGATCAGTGCTAATACCGTACATTGTACACTGTACTAATGACACTGGCTGGGAAGGGGTAACATCAAGGAGCATTCAAAGGGTTAACTGTGTGCCTAACCAGTGTAATGTGTGCTGTCTTATTTATAGATCTGGCTGTTTTTTCTCCCTGCTGTGTACAGAGCCCTGTGTGTTTGTAAGCAATAAGATATTGGCTGAGACCTGCTGACAAAATCCCTCTGTAGCCAATGACAATACGTTTTAGCAGTGGGTGCGTGCATGCACATGTACATGTACGTGATCCATGAAGTACATGTACATGATCCAGCCTGCCTGGACCGCATCTCTTTGGAGAATGTAGAAGGTGTGAAGAAACTTTTGATTAGGTCCTTTGTATTGCACTTCACCTTTTGGTTTAAACAAGCTGAGCAGGAACCCCCCCCCCCCCCCCGTCCTCATTTATTATTGGACGACAGGTGAAAAGTTTTTGGTTGTTTGGAATTCAGTATGGATCCTCTCTTTTTGGGCATGCCTGGTCGAGCCAGTTCACTCCTTTTCCCACATGATTGGATCATGACTATAATTCCTTTGGGGATTTCTTTCGCGCACTTTGAGCTCCCCTGGCCATACAGTGTAAGGGGTGTGATCCAAGGACATATTTTATCTTAAAGTTGCTGATGATGTTTCAAACTCTATATTGACCACCATTCTTTTCTTCTTTTTTCCACCTGATGAAGATTTGTTTGAAATCAAAATGCGTTGGGGCATATTCACAACATTGAGGCATATATAACAGCTGATATGAAATCAGTTAGGGTGGTCCTTTTGTACTGCTGGATCATCAATCAGCTGATTGTTTCTATTGTTGTTTGTATTGCTTTTTGGTATGATCTAAAAAATCAATGTTGTAATTTTAACTTGTGGGTAGTATTAAGTGCCTAAAAAATCCAAACCAAAAATAATTTTTCTCTTTACTTCCCCTAAGAAATCAGTATGTCGCCAATAGCTCAGTCCAGAAAAGGGCTCTGTCTTTACACACACCTGACATGTCTATGATAGGTAATAAAGGCTGTAAATCAATGAATAGTGCCTACTGTAAATCTATGGAAAGTTTAACATTTTTTAAAGATCACATTGAAAAAAAGGCAGAAAAATAATTCAGTGCATGTTATCACTTTCTTCCACTTTCTTCCAGAACACAGCAAATCAATGGAGAGTCCCAACAGGAACATAATGATGGGAACCGACAGTCCAGTCTTGCAGGTAAACTAGGATCAGTGTTTATCAGTGCCAATTCTCAGTGGCTGCTAACAAGGTATATTTTGCAGTCAAATGTGAACTAATATGTAGATTTTAAAACCTATTACTTACAAGCAAAGATGTGCTTCCACTTGGAACACTAGAAAATAAGCTGTGAGCAGCTATTGGGGACCAGAGTGGAGAATCAATCATGAGGTTAGCGAGGGCACTTATGAATGTGCAAAATATAATGCAGACCTATGCTGCCATCTACTGTTCAGTTTCATGAATTCTCTGCACTAAGCAAATTGGCAAATACCGTATTAAGGTGTCCGTTTATGACACAGAGAATAGCTGCGATTCAGAGGATCGCAGCTATTCTCTGGTCATTCACAGTTTATGACACTCAGGAGATCAGCGGAGAACATGTTCAGCCCTTTACTGGAGATCTGTGTTCTCCCTCCAGATTCTCCAGCCCACAGCTGGAGAATCGGAGGAACCGCAAACTAAGCAGCAGTAATTTACCTCTGCTTAGTACACTGATCTTTTACTGTAATCTTGCAAGATTATAGTAAAAGCAGACGTTTTCCAGCGTTTGTAGATCGTTCTCCCTTCGTTCGGAGAACTGATCTACACCGCTTCATAAAAGGCATTCACAGGAGAACTGTGTTCTCCGAGAATGCCGGAGAACTGAGCAGCGATCATTTACCGCTGGTTCATAAGCGGACACCATAGTTTGTTGCAGGAGGATAGACCAGGTAAGTCAGATTTACATCCCAGCCTCCGACAATGTTTCTGAGGTAGTGATATTTAAAGTATCGATGGTAAATTTAGCCACTTCAGCTCTCACAACTCTACACCCACTATGCACCAGAGTAACTTTAACATTTCTGCTGTCGATGTTTATTGAGCAATAATTTTATCAACACTTAAAAAAAGAATAAAGTAATATATACAGTATGTGTGTGTGTATATGTACTGTGTGTGTGTATATATATATATATATATATGATATTTTTTTTTGCAAAAAAGATTTTTTATGCATTCCTTAGACAAAAATAGTAACAAAACTACAAACGTACATACATATAAGGTGCAGCGCTAAAATAACATAAATAAAAACAGCATATTATAGCATAAAATAAAGTGCAAATATCAGATCACACTGAGGTGAACTTGAGTGAATAAAAGTCCCAAGATAAATGAGGGCCCAACGTGGGGATTCGGTAGATCCTAATAAGTGCGTGGGGCAGGGTTCCAGTGTACCACACGGTGAATCTAGGGTAAAAAATGCGCACTCACCAGAAGTGCGTCAAAAGTATGCATGTGAAATTTATCCTGTTACATCAGGTAGCGGTCATCTACTGCCAAGGTAAGGTCAGGGTCATACACCTTCCAATCGTAACTCAGGGTAGGTACTCCAAGAGTCTCAAACATGTCTCAAACGTGTCACCATCTGGGGTCCCTTTTGAACAGGTTCTGCAAATGGGGACTAGTAATAGTGCCTGTTCTGGTATTCTCTCCCATCCCAGCCAACACCTGATCCCTCTAAGCTGACCTCCGAGCCTCACTTCTGGTGAGTGCGCATTTTTTACCCTAGATTCACCGTGTGGTACACTGGAACCCCGCCCCACGCACTTATTAGGATCTACCGGATCCCCACGTTGAGCCCTCATTTATCTTGGGACTTTTATTCACTCAAGTTCACCTCAGTGTGATCTGATATTTGCACTTTATTTTATGCTATAATATGCTGTTTTTATTTATGTTATTTTAGCGCTGCACCCAATATGTATGTACTCTGTTGGAAGGTTCATTCTTTGTTACCTTTTTGGTGTTCTAGTTGCTATCTTTTATAGAGTTTTGGATAGCGCTCAAATATTACCTCTTTATCAAAACTACAAACATGGATATTGTCTTTTTACCTGTTAGTTAAAAAAACAAATAGTGCAGCTGTAGATAAAAAGTATAAACTGTATGCTGTAATTCATCATGTTTAAAATTACACTAAAATTCAGACTATGCTGCAAAGCATTGCAAACTTTTTACAAATGAAAATAGTTTTTACTTAAATAATGTGTTGGTGCTCTGAAGAGTGATCCCTGGTTGATTGCTCTTTAGGGGACATATGACAGTGAGGAGGTGTTATGTCTTAACCCCGAAAAGCTTGCACCATTGCGCTACAACTGTGTGCAGTGCACACAGTTGCAGTGCGGCCCCATTCACACTTTATTAATGATATATTTAAATTATATAGAAGCACTTGCTGATTAGTATTTTTTTAATTATATTATAGTGTTTCGTCAAGGTCAGTCCTTGGCACCACGTCCGCCATCACGACCAAGCAGTGGGAGCATAACCAAGAAGAAGTCTGGTACTGGAAATGGAGAAAATCCAAAATTTTCATCTCAGAGGTACAAATATATTCTATTTTGTAACTTGATCCATGTTGTTCACACTCACATATTTCACGTGAATCAGATTACTGTCTGAGTAAAGGGTTCAAAACAGTGTACACGTGGTTCTTTTAGTAGGTCTCTTGTTAGGAACCGCAGAAGCAATTGTATAGAATAATATCACAATATGTCAATAATAGCATATATAATATGCCATTTCAAAAATTCACTGAGATATTTGATAGGTAATTTTGCTCACTTTTTGCAAATAACATCCAGTGGCAGCATGCACTGTTGTTTTTGGTTTGTCAGGTTAACGTGTATGCATAGGCATTTTTTTTTTTCTAGAATAGTGTGTGTAAGGGTTAGAACCCCTGTCTGTACCCCAGCTGCTTAGATTCACTTTTTTTTCCCAGTGAGACACAAAGTGGCGGAAACTACAAAATTAAGCCTTTCCTCTTGCTGTCATAATAATTATGTTCTTTTTAAAATGAGCTGTTGGCTATCTTGTAGAAATAAAGTTGCCTGAGCACTTCTACATGTACAGTAATTTGCCACTTCTCCTCCCCTTGTCTGACCCCCATCCTTTCTTCTGCCTTGTGTCCTGGGCTTACCTTTCCCTCCTGGATGCCTGGGGCTTCTATGGCAGGTGTTAGGATGGAGAGCAGTGAGAGATCAGTGAACAACCTTTTGCTGATCTACCCTGTGAAGAGCGAACCTAAAAGTACTCAGCTGTGAGCACTTCCAGGTTCAGAGCTATCAATCTCCAGCAGCTCTGGCTTTAACAGAGTGCAGAGATGACAGAGGTTACTCTCTCTTTCTGTTACATTGCCAAGAAAAAGGAAGGGTAATCTTCCTCATGGTACACAAGCAGAGAGTAACCCTTCGGTAGATTCAATGATCATCAATACAATGAACAAAAATTCAGCGCTCACACAATATAGAATAGGATGGTAACAGTAGGCAAAAATAAAGGAAAAGGTTAGGAATGACTGTACAAAGGATGTGGTGATGGTAGGTCACAGAGTCAATATGTCCATGAGATGGGCCAATGGAGGAGGATGCAGACCAAGGAACCAGGGCACATGGAATGGAACTGGCAGATCCTCGTCAGGGATGGTGAGGATCCTGTGCAAAAGATGTGGTGACAGTTGTGGAAGCAGTCAATGCGTCCTGGGGCTAAGCAGAATAAGGACGGAATGGACCAGAGAGGCAAGGCATCTAGGATGGAACTGTCAGCTCCTCATCAAGGATATGGGGGATCCCCTGAAGACAAGCAGAATAGAAAGGAGGGTGCCAGGTCAAGGTGAATAAAAAACATGTGTAAACTTTATTACAGAAGACTTACATCTGTAACTTCTTCAGTCGGCATGTGGAATGAGAAGTCAAACATAGGAGCAAGATCGCAGTTCACTCTGATGGATGGATAAGTGACAGCAGCAAAACCATGGAGGGAGCTGCTTGTGGATTCGGCGGAGATAGTTCAAAAACCTCTCCAGGCAGTGGAGAGGTTGACAGGTACTGTGGCAAGTTCAGTTAATGGCGGATGGGCGGAGCTGCAAAGCGTTTCAGAAGCTCCACCTCTTTTGTCAAGCGTTTCAGGCGGAGCTTCTGAAACACGTTACAGCCCCGCCCACTCGCTATTCACGGCACCTGTCACAGTACCTGTCAACCTCTCCGCTGCCTGGTGGGATTTTTGAACTAACGCCGCCAAGTTCATGAGCGGTTCCCTCCATGGTTGTGCTGCTGTCACTGTTCCATCCATCAGAATGAACTGCGATCCTTGACCTGGCGCCCTCCTTTCTCTATTGCTTGTCAGAGAGTAACCCTTCCCTATTCTAAATCTAATCTAAAACTAATATGAAAACGTTTTGGCTATGCGTACACTTTACCTAAAAATGAAATTCAACAAAACTAAAATCAATATACAGATCTGATGTGCAGAATTGGTCATTCCTGACCTAACAGAAGTAAACTTTAATCTGATCAGTCAGTATTGGTTTTTGCCCTTTACAGTCCTTTATTCAATGAGCCAACATGGCCTCAGGAAGCTGGCCCCTCTGATATTCTTTGTTCTTTCTCAGTGTCCGAAAGCTGGTTAAACCCTCTCGGTTTGACAAGAAATACCAGGTGTTTGGGGAGAAGAAAGAGGAGTCTGAGTAAGTTACAGCAAATGTATTACTGGAATATGTACTGTCTGCATCTGCAAGTGTCATTTAAAAATAGAGATAATTAGCACCTTATTTTTCTGATTTTATTCTCTAGTAATTTTAAAGGCATCCTGTTGTCACTTCTGTGGGAGAGCAACAATAATCTGCTGTACATGGCCGAGGTAAATTTCATATTTTTCATAGGCACACATAGATCAATATCAGATTGGTTAATCTCAGCGTTCATCATTGGGTACTTGTCGTTGTTGGTGCAGGGTCTGTCTTCAGTGCAAAAGGCTTTTGGTGTAGGAGGTGACCATGCACTTTGGTACAGATGGAAGATGGAAGGTTGGGTGGCATGAAAGTGAACCTTTGCTTTTCCCATGCAGGATAAAGAAAAAGGTTCACTTTTCCCCTACCCACCAACAACATATAAATTACCTTTCCTGTGCTCCTCTGACACGGTCTTCAAACAATGGGAGAAATAGAAGTTCATGTGACATCGCTGATGCTTGGTGATTGGCTCAGCACTGTCACAAGGAGTCACAAGGGTTTATTTACTAAAACTGGAGAGTGCAAATCTGGTGCAGCTCTGCATAGAAACCAATCCGCTTATATTGCCACATCTTAACCGAACAAGCTGTAGTTAGAAGCTGATTGGTTACCATGCACAGCTTCACCAGATTCTGAATGCACCAGTTTTAGTAAATCTCCCCTACAGTGTCCTCCATATTTAGAGGTTGCAGGTATTTTCTTCTCTAATGGAAGCTGAATGGGGCATCAAGAGAACTCAGTAAAGGTGAGCATGTGTTCTACCAAGTACACCAAGAAACTACAAACACCTTGCCCATCACAACAAAGAGTGTCATATTTAGTGGACACACAAATTTCCTCCTGAGATCCAATGTCATACTGTCTAAGCTATTTGTTATTAACAACTCCAAAGTGAGAACATAATATTCCATACATTTATTGGTCATAAAGGGGGAGTGCAGCCAGTCATTGTTATACTTGTCAGAGGCCAAATTGGCATTTGGGGACCAAATCTTCATTCTTTGCTAATGCAGATCACAATAAATACAGTAAATACTACCCTCTCCCGCTGCCCATGCCACTGATCTTTGCTGTATTCATGAGCTACTGCTGTAGGAAAATATTTTGCATGCAACACAGTTCCAGGTGTATTGGATGCCTGATCTCCCCCTGAGCACTGTGTTTCCTCTCATAGTAGTACCATAGGGGCAAGGGGAATGAAGAAATTACCACAACAAGCATTTGAGGAACGTGCGGCAGACTGGTGAGTGTTAAATGTCCCTTTTTTTTTTTTTTTACAGGTTTTTTTTAAACCTTTAAAACAATGTTAGGATCTTTAGGTCAAGTGCACACAATCTATCATTATGTGCATTTATTTGAATTGCATATCCTGCCCAGAGTTATCTTTTAACACATACAGTAGAATGTCTACTTTTAAGTGGCAGCAGATGTTTTGCCTGCTATTATACCAATATTAATGTATGTGAGGCTTGAACCCCCTTATTGCAAATATGTGGAAAAGATTGACAGAGTCACTTTTTTCATGCTGTTGTTTTTTTTTTATTTTTACTTTTTATCTTCTGCAAAGTTATTGAGCAAATGCAAACAGTCAGATTCACACATATTTATTTCACATGTGCATATTTATGTACAGACACAACCTTTTGTTAAAGCAGAACTTTACCCATAACAGCCTGATAAAAAAATTTGTTCTTTAGCAAGGCACATACATTCCACATTAATAATTATGCTACCAAAATAAGTGTGTGCTGTAAATTGCCTCCAGCATTTCTCCTGTTTCTTCTTGCTAGATGCTGCCCAGAGTAAATCATAAAGCAGAACTAAACCCATCGATTTAACAGTTTCAAAAACAGTTACATTCCTGAAATGCCAGGATTGCTAAGTGTCACATTTGCTTGTGTCTTCAACCAAACTGTCAAACCATCAAATGGCTGGTGTCATATCTGATCACATGGGCAGCACCATAGCACTTGCAGATCAAACAGAAGCAGCTTTCTTGGCTCTAAAGGATAGGAGGCTTTAATTCCACTTTAAGGCTGTCAGCAGATAAGGCTGTCAGTGCCTAAAAATACCTAAAAATAGAGAGCAACTGAGCATGTGCAGTGCAGGGTGAGACAGTGTATTACTGAATGTTAAACAGCACTTATTTTTAATGTTTACATCGCTATACCTGCAAAAGGCGCCAGCCTGAAGTGATCAAGCTTTGACTAAAGTTCCACTTTAATCTCTCCCTCTGACTCAATGACCACAGTCATGTTTCACAGTGTTAAACTTCCATTAACATTTAGATGAGGTTAACTGAAAGAATAACCATTTAATGTTGTAACCCAAATACAAGTACTTGGAGCGCTGCTCAAAACTTCCCCCCGCAGTCCAAAGCACAGATCGGGTGCTGATGTTCAAACAAGCTTATCAGAGCTAGCTGAAACAGATTGGAAGACAGATGGTGGAAACACCACACATAGGAATCCTGCCACTATATAGAGATGTAAAGATACGGTTTCAGCCTGAACTCCTCCTAGCAATGCCCCTCTCACATGTTTCATCCTTCTATGGCTAAGCCTCCGGGGCGGGGCGAAACACGTCAGAGGAGCACAACCAGAAGGAGTTCAGGCTGAAACCATACACACTATAATTCCAGGTGCTAAACTCAAATCCCAAACATAAACACAATAAGCAGTCCAATAATCAAAATATGGAATAAAACGTTATCCCCAAAAATATTGTGTAAAGTCACTCAAAAAAAAAAATTTTTTAATAAATGAATAAAGTCACTTCAACAAATTAAGTGTCCAAAATCCAGCTTGCCACTTTCTTTGGTGCTGAGCCCTTCCACTGGCTCGTAAAGGACAGAAAGTACCTCAAAAGAAAGGAAACACTACATAGTGTATTACCTTAAATCACCAAAATATATATATCATAACTTCCACAAAAAATGTGCAAAACTTCAAAATAGTGCCAAAATAGTGAACACTGTGCAAAGTGAAAATTAGTGTGTCACTCTGTGAATACAACAAAAAACAAGTGAACAAAACAGTGTAAACTTCTATCGTGGAAAAGCATATATACTCTTACCAGAATACAAAAAGGAAAAACGCCTTAAACATATAGTAGGAATCAGCATACATTCACTCCTTTCCTCCACTCCTGAAGTATGCCTCTTAGGATGTCATCCACCATATCCTCCTGACCATTCCCATGGTTTAGACGAACATTCCCAAACCTCCAGGGTACTCCTATAATGAATGTATAAATATATATATATAGTGTGATACCGTTTTTAAAAGACAATAAATTTAGTAGATCTGCTTACATTAAGATAAGAGAAATCACCTATTCCCATCCTCACTTGCTATGCGGTTTTGCCAATACTCAAAATGGCCGACACGCCACTTCCGGTTCTTTTTCTGTGCCTCCGACTTCACTTCCCTTTCGTAAAATTTGCACTTTCAAGGGTGAGAGTGATTTTTCTAATATGTGAAGGGTTATTTTAGTTTAGTGATAGATGACACCATATTTACATTTATATGAAACCATATACAGTATATAGTGGCTGGATTCTGGTGTGCTGTGTTTCCACCTTCTGTCTTCCGATCCTTTCAATGTTGTAATCACAATATCACGCTGCCAATTCCAGGATTTGTGCTATGTTCTGTTTGTATTCTATGTCTTTTAGGAATTTTATAAAAAGAAGGACCGTCGTCCAGTAGGACGCCCAGACTTACTACAGGAAACATTTGAGGACTGTGCGGACATGTTGGTGCTGAAACTTCAGACTTATGAGAAGCAGGCCCTGGATTATCACAACAACTGCTTGCTGGGTAAAATGGCTTTTGAGATTATTTTTAACTGTACACCAGCCATATAGTGAACCTGTGCTTTACCCAATGCAGGGCAATGCAGCCTGTTCATTGAACATACTTACCTTCTTTTCATGCTCCATTCTACCTCTGAGAGGAAACCCTATGTCAGCTCTAAGTCTGGATTTGGAACTTACACAGAGCTGAGGGTTCTAGATGTAACATTGCTACCTGCCTAAGGGCTCATGTACACTGCAGCTGATAAACTCACGTTTAGGAGCTGTAAAGCATTTTTTTCAGCAGCCCCTGAACTCTCCCTAATGTTTTCCTATGTGTCCATGTACACATCTTTGTTTACAGTCGTTTACAGGCATTTGAGTTTACAGTCGTTTTTTTGAACGCAGAAAACTTGCATTCAGTAGTCGATTTTATCAACGTTTCAAACTTAAAATGCTTGTAAACGCGGCAAATCGTGTTTATTAGTGTTTGCGTTTGAAACTTTTTTTTAACTCTTCCAGTTCCCGATGCTGTCCAGAGTCTTTTTTCATCATGAAAAATGCATGCAAAACGTTTTCAAGGTACTCAGATGGACAGAACACTGGAAACAGGATGTTCCTACCAAGCTTGTAACACATGGTAATGACCAGTTCACATCTCAGACCTCTCCCACCCTTGGAAACCCTAAGATATGTTAATGACCACTCACACCTCAAATTCCTCATGAAGACCCCCTGCCAGGTGGTTTAATGACTCACTTCAGCAGACACCTTCCCACCCTTGGAAACAAAAGAAATGTTAATGAGCAACTCACACCTAAGCTAATTTCAACACATACTGCTGTCTCTGCTTCTACTCTCTGTGTTTCTCTGAAACAGTCTGAAATAGTTAATAATTTACCACTTTTCAGTGCATTCTGGGCATTTGGGAGGTTCTCCTGTGCTTATCTTTAAAAAAAAACGCTTGTAAACACAAACGCGCATAAACACGTTATGCAAACGCAGCTAAGCAGACTTTTTTTTAACCTACGTTTTCTAACAGTCAGTTTCCATCGTTCAGAAGTGTCCCGTGTACATGGGGCCTTTGCAGCCAAACACCATCACTTATCTCTGTTAAAAAAAGCCCTATCATATGGAAGATAGGGGATGAGTCCGTACCAGGCATTCGACTTTGCTTCCTTGTGGCTTTATTCCCTCAGGATTGCAAAGCGAAGTAAGAATAAGCATGTAACTGGGTTTTCATAAAAGTGATTCCATTGCTTTTCCCTGCATGGGCAAAGCATAGGTGAACTTGAAAACAGGTCTGAAAACATGATGGACCATGCCTCTGTAGTGTGTGTCCATATAGCTGCCTATTTTTGTCCACCTGGGGTGTATATGATAGGGTGACAATGCAGCAGCATCATTAGAAGACATTTGTCAACCCATAACAGGAATTGCCAAAACAAGAACCTTCATGGCAGGATCATCAGGTGTAATTATAACAAATGCTGCATATTAAAAAAAGATTGAAACAACCTTTGGAATGCAGTAACATGAAAAAGCTTACTCGATATCCCCTTTACTCTATCATGAATTCTGCTTGCAGACTGTACCTTACCAACCCCTCAGTATCTGCCAGCCCTCTCTGCCATTCCCGCCACTGGTTTTTGATTGCCCAGCAAATTAAATTCAAAATACTAACAATAACATACAAAGGCATTCACAACTCTGCTCCGAGCTACATCATCAATCTTGTCTGCAAATATTACCCAAACTGTCCTTTCTGCTCCTCCCAAAACCTCCTCCCATCCTCTGAAACTATCTACCCCAATCTGTCTGGCTATCTCCTACTCTGGAAACCTTTCGGTGATTCCTAAAAACTCATTTCTTCAAGGAAGCCTATCCCACCTCCACCTAACAACTTAACTTTTAATTTTTCCATCAGCTAATCCCGAACAGTTATTGCCATTTGTACCACATACCCCTCCTTATTAGATTGTAAGCTATTATGAGCAAGGCCCTCTTAACCCTTTTGTAATTTATTTTATTGTAACTGTACTGCCTCCCTTTATATTGTAAAGTGCTGCGCAAACTGTTGGCGCTTTATAAATCATGTAAAATAATAATCATTTTAGTACTCTAGATCTGCTTTAAATTTTGGTGGTCATGTTTTGCATTGACAATAAATGGTGTCCTTTATATGATATATCATGAAGATTATCCATCCATTAATTTGACCCTTGCATCATTTCACTGATGTTACAACCTGATTGATGACCTGGGAGCAGGCCTTGTTGTACCCCTTGATACAGTGCCTTTTAAAAGTATTCATACCCCTAGAAATTTTCCACATTTTGTCAAGTTACAGCCAAAAACGTAAATTTATTTTATTGGAATTTTATGTGACAGACCAACACAAAGTGGCACATAATTGTGAAGTGGAAGGAAAATGATAAATGGTTTTCAAAATTTTTGATAAATAAATATGTGAAAAGTGTGGCGTACATTTGTATTCAGCCCACCTGAGTCAATACATTGTATAACCACCTTTCGCTGCAATCACAGCTGCAAGTCTTTCTGGGAATGTCTCTACCAGCTTTGCACATCTAGAGAGTGCAAAATAGCTCAAGCTTTGTCAGATTGGATGGAGAATGTCTGTGAACAGCAATTTTCAAGTCTTGCCACAGATTCTCAATTGAATTAGGTCTGGGCTTTGACTGGGCCATTCTAACACATGAATATGCTTTGATCCTAACCTTTCCATTGTAGCTCTGGCTGTATGTTTAAGGCCATTGATACATAGTTACATCGTATCAGTTTGGTTGCCCTACTCTGTTCTTTCTCCAGTTCCACAATGTTCTTTTTGTGAATTGTTACCCAAAACTGAACTGCATATTCCAGATGAGGTGTTACCAATGATTTGTACCGGGTATAATGATATCTCTCTCTGGAGTCTATACCTCTTTTAATACAAGAGAGGATTTTGCTCGCTTTAGAAACTGCAGCTTGGCATTGCATGCCTTTATTAAGCTTGTGATCTACCAGAACCCCCCAGATCATTCTCCACCATTGATTCCCCCAGTTGTACCCCCCTAGTATGTATGATGCATGCATATTCTTAGCCCCCAAGTGCATAACCTTACATTTATCAACATTAAATCTCATTTGTCACATAGTTGCCCAATTAAACAGTGCATTGAGGTTGGCTTGTAAATTGGAGACATCCTGTAAGGACATTATTCCACTGCACAGCTTGGTGTCATCTGCAAAGACTGAAATGGGATTTTTAATCTCAGACCCTATATCATTTATAAATATATTAAAAAGTAAGGGTCCCAACACTGAACCCTGGGGTACACCACTGATGACCCCAGACCATTCGGTATGAATCATCAACCACTACTCTCTGAATACGATCTTTTAGCCAGTTTTCTATCTACATACAGATTTTTCCAAGCCCATAGATTTTACCTTGCGCATTAGCCGTGTGTGGGGAACTGTGTCAAACACTTTTGCAAAATCCAAGTATACCACATCCACCGCCACCCCTCTTTCCAAATATACCATGTCCACAGCCACCCCTCTGTCCAAGGTTTTGCTCACCCCCTTATAAAAAGAAATCAGATTTGTTTGACAACTTCTGTCTTTCATGAATCCATGCTGTCAGTTGCTTAAAATATTTTTTTCTAGCAAGAACTCTCCAGTATCTTCCCAACTATAGAAGTTAAACTAAAAGGTCTGTAATTACTTGGTAAAGATTTTGACCCCTTTTTAAATACTGGCACCACATTGGCCTTGCGCCAATCCAGTGGTACTATGCCAGTCATTAGAGTCCCTAAAAATTAGAAACAATGGCTTTGAAATGACAGAGCTCAATTCTTTAAGGACCCGTGGGTGTATACCATCCGGTCCAGGTGCTTTATTCACCTTTATTCTGTCTAAATATTTTTGGATCATATCCATTGTAAGCCAATGTGAATCATCTGGAGCTGTGTCAATACCATGCCCATTATGGACAAGAGCTCCCCCGTGCTCCTTTGTATATACAGAGCTGAAGAAGGTATTAAATAAATTTGCCTTCTCTTTGTCCCCAGTCACCCACACTAGATTACTTTGTAAAGGACCTACATGCTCAGATCGAACCTTTTTACTATTAATATATTTGAAGAATTTTTTGGGGTTGGTCCTGCTATCTTTTGCAATCTGTCGTTCGTTTTCAATTTTTGCAGCCTTTATTTCCTTTTTGCATATTCTGTTATATTCTTTGTAATATTTAAACGACGATAGCGTTCCTTCATTTTTATATTGAATAAAAGCTCTTTTCTTATTATCTATAGCCTTTTTAACTTTGGCCATAAGCCACATAGGTTTGACTTTTTTTAGCCTTTTTAACTTGTTGCCCATGGGAATATATTTTGCAGTGTGTTCACATACAGTCTTTTTGAAGAACTCCCATTTCTGTGTTGTGTTCATCAATGCCAATATTCCCTCCCTAGTCTAAGTCTTGGAGAGCAGCTCTCAGCCTTGGAAAATTACCTCTCTTGAAATTGAGCGTTTTTATTTTTCCCGTATGTGCTTGCTGTTTACAGCTAACAATAAATGAAATCATGTTACGGTCACTGCTACCCAGATGTTTTTATATGGACATTCGTAATAAGCTCTGCATGGTTTGAGATTACCAGGTCCAGCAGAGTATCATTCCTAGTAGGGGCCTCTATGAACTGTACCATAAAATTGTCCTATAGTAGGTTTAAACATTTTTGCCCTTTAACTGTTCCTGCAGTACCATTATTCCAGTCATTTTCCAGGTAGTTAAAATCCCCCATTATTATCACTGTCCCAGCCCTTGCAGCCCTTTCGATCTGTGCAAGGAGCTGAGTTTCCACCTCCTCATTAACACTGGGAGGCCTATAACAAACTCCAATGATTACCTTTGTAGTACGCACCCCCATGTGCAGTTCCACCCATAATACTTCAGCCTCATCACACTCTCCATCAACTAGGTCCTCTTTCACACTCGCTTTGAGATCACTTCTAACATAG